GGGGGAGAGAAAGGGCAGGGTAGATCTCATTTTAGAAGAATTTACATGAAAGAACAAAATGAAAAATGAACAAGAGAAATTCAATCTCTTACTGTTGAAGAATGTACTTTGAAGAACAAAATGCCCTCTCTTGATTGAGGGATCAGAGGAATGAACTTACAAGTATCAAATTTTGTGACCAGTTAGTTTCAACTGCTGGTGCAAGACACCTCTTGGGTGTATCTTCATCACTTGAGGGAATCAGTATTTAAAAATCTTTATCTTGAACAGTAGCTGGTGGTTTAGTTTGGTCACTTTTGAGAAATGTTGTTCAGTGCAGTGATGATTCATATGATCAAAAGCTGGTATATCTAGTATGTTGTTATCTGTATGTCAGAGGGGACTTATATTGAATTATGAGATCATGTTCTAAAATTTTATACGTATATACACTTTGTACTAAAGATAAACAGTTCTTTTAAAGGATTTGTACAACCCTAAAATATTTAACAGTTCTTTAATAGAATCTGTTTGACTCTCAAAAAAAGTTCACAGTTCTTGAATTCACATAATTCTAAAAAAATGTTAATCCGTTCTCTTACAAAATTCACACAACCCAAAAAAAACAGATGGAGGATGTTTCCCTTACCTGCACCAGCTGATGACGGCTGTCCCTGTGCGCCCGCTGCGGCTGCCCCGCCCCCAGACTCCGCTGTCTTGGTTGCTTTGGCAGCTCGTTGAGCCTCCTGAGGACATTTTTCCACAAAAATGTTACAAAATCCCCCAAACTATTTAACTTCATCCTTGAGTAGAGATTTGGTTTACAATGTTATACACACACACGTATGTATATATATATATATATAAATATTTACACACACACACGTTTTCATACAACAATATGCATATGAGCATGCATACAAACATACATATATAATAATCTATTACTTCAGCATTAAATACACAACATCACTCAGATAGACCTATTCTTACACCCAAGCCATTTCTGGTGGTCAGTGTGTGGTGCCATGTTGTTTTTTTCCTACAATTATCTTGTCTCGATAAACACTACACCTTAGTCACCACCCACCAAAACACTATATTTTATATATCACCGATACTGCTCGATATCATGAACCCGAGCTCATAAACCACACTCTACCTGGAGCCAGTGAGGCTTCCGGACTTGCTTTAACCTACAATAGACATGGATGGTGAAGAGCAACAACCCCTGAAACCCTGAAAATATCTGGTTAGTTTTCGGCGCTCGCAACTGCATAAGGTCATATGAGCACGCAGGACAAATTGCACAATTTCAGTCGGAAGGAAATTCTGAATTTTGCCCAGGTGGCGGCCGAAACCTACTTTTATTTATCATAGACCACCAAGGGATCTTTAACATGTGCAACTTGCACATGGGAGATTTTTCGCTCTTGTCCCAGAAGGCTAGGTGTAGATCTTTCCTACCAGAAGATCAGGGGTGTGGCTGAAAGACAGCAGTAAGAAGGAACCAAGGAGTAGCAGCAGAAAGAGTCAAGACCCCAGAGGAGGGGGCAAAGCGGGTGAGGGGGTGGCGGCAGAAAGTGGAGACCAAAGCAGATTACAGAATATTGCTAGAGAGCAGGGAAGGAGATGAAAGGTGACAATTTTAGATTTAAAAAATGTTCGGTTGCTACCCTGATTCGAACCCGGGACCTTTTGAATGAGAGGCGAAAACCTAAACCTCTAGGCCAGAGAACCCCTTCTATACCTCTAAACTCAGTCAAATCTCTACATCAGCCTTATTTTGTTCATGGATAGCGAACAACGCCTGAAGTATGCAATAACACGCATAACTATTTGTCCAGTGGTACATTATTTCTCCTTTTTTTTTTACATGCAATGTGTTACTTAATCTGTCTGATGTTAATTCATCTGGGTACAATATTATTTTAAATATTTGCACAAATATGAACAAACCAAAAGAGTAAAAATGTTCTCACCGATTTTTTACGTAAACCAAGATAAGGGGACTTTCTTCAAAACATTAAAATCCAACAAAGAAGAATAATAATAATAATAATAATAGATAGCATTTGTATAGCGCATATCCCCGCTCAGCAGCAGGCTCTATGCGCTTTACACTATAATATTATTACCCCAGCAGACATTAGAACACTCCGAAACATTCTCAGCTTCCCGGGAAGCATACAGTGCAAGCAGCTGATTAAGCGCTCAAACACTAACAAACTGACAAGATCTTTCGCTGTCTATAGCCGGGTACCCATTCCCACCTGGGTGAAGTGAGGAAAATTCGTGTAAAGTGCCTTTCCCAAGGACACAACGTCGGACCCTTGACGGGATTCGAACCCACGACCTTACGGTTGCGAGTCCGAGAGCCTAACCACTAGGCCACCGACCGAATCATACAGAGGGCAGAAAGGAAACTACACAAGTGACCCCACCTGAATGGCTCTTCTCTCTGCTTTCAGCTGAGCTTTCGACTTCTGTTCCCCTTCTCCAGCCTCCGGTTTCGGTGGTGCCTTCTCCCCTTTGCCTTTCTGACCTTGTTCAGGTTTGTTTTGATCTGTAGACACACACATTTTTTAAAAATGACAAAATAAAGAACAACTGAGCAAGTACTTTTTCTTTCCAAATGTTGTGTTTTTTACACCTCCATAAACACAATTCATATTATTTGTGAGGTGGGATATGACCTTGCCTGTCAGGGCCAATCTAGGCGGAGAAGGATATGTCAACGTCCTAACAGAAAACGTAGATTCTCAATAAAATCTCTCTGCACATGGGAATAGAACTCATCTCACTTGCGTTGAAGCTCCTAACCTAGCCTGTGCACTATCTATGCCAGTAAGCTGACGCTGAGAATACTTTCTTGACGAATTAAAAAAATATATTACTTTTCGTTTCATGACTGGGAACATCATACATCATGAATCATGATAAGAGAACTAAACAACATACTTTCATTGTCTTATCCAGCCTATTGGTACTACTCATGTAGATATGCTCAACAGATCTCTGCGTAAAGAACGCAACGGCATTCATCAGGAATCTGCAGTTCATCTACATTTTTAACCTTGATCAAAGGCACTCAACACAATGAAATTAAATCGAAGTGCATTCATGCAATTTTTTCTACACTTGTTGAGGTCACATTCAACAATAGTTTCCAGAGAGACTTCTAGTCTTTCTTTTTTTCTTTGAACATTCTTCACAGCATCACTGCCAGGAGGCAAGGTTGACCCACTTCACCACTTTCTGTTACACTGTGTAAGTACTTTTGCACTGCAGTTAAAGTACATTGCTCAAATACGATTATCTCTACCAGTGACCCCCCCCCCCCCCCCGAATACATTAACACGAGCAGGGTTAAAAAGAAAAAAGTTTTTAAAAAATAAAATCAATACTAAAGTAACGCAAGACAAGGAATTCCTAGACTAAAAGAAAGAATCCAACCTATCCACACACAACTTATTCGCCATTTATAATTTATTTGCAATTAAAAGAAAGTTCACCATTGAAAAATGTTGCTGCTGCCTCCAAGGCAATTTCAGAAACAGTATTAGTGCACATATAACAAAAACATGTCTATATGGAATCTTCAACATCTCGACAAAGCAATAATATATCTGAGAACCAGTAATACAACGATCACTCACTCTTTTGTTGTTTCCCTTCCTTTTTAGGATTTTGTCCCCCTTGCTTAGGACCCTGTGCTCCTTGTGCAGGCTTTACATCTGGAGTTTTCTCCCCTGTTGAGGCTGCAGCAGTCGCTCCTTCAGGAGATGCCGGTTTCGTGACAGGAACATTCTCCTTCGATGGGGTAGGGGTTGCTCCCCCATCACCACTCGATTCTGCCCTCTTCTTCTGTGACTTGTTCTTTTTCTTCCCGCTGTCTGGGGCTTTCACTTTTCCACTGTCAGCCATGATGGACTTTAGAAAGTCGATGTGTCAATGGAGAATCTTAAAAAGTAAGAAAAATAACACCAGTCTCAGTCAATGGCACTCACACTAACAAGCTACACACATTTCAGAAGAGCACAATATACAGCAAACGACAGTAGACTACAGCACAACACACTGTAGTAGTATACTACAACAGCAACACATACAACTCACTACAACACCAGTAAACAGTGTCTACAGTGTTATAAGCTAGCAGTACAGTAGAACCTGAAGACGGCTATATAAGCGGGACATTTGTTCCAGAAGAAAAATCCTGCTGTAGTGAAAAAAGTGGAATTATCTAATAAAAAATTTTAATCCACATGATTACCTCCCTTCCATATTAATAAAATTTGCGCTTTAGATTAGTCTTCCTTTTCTTGTCAACTTCGTTGATTATCTCGGCCTTTAATTCGAGTAAGAAGCATTTTTTCCTTTTGTCTTTGTTGGAAGCCATCTTTTCCTCAGTCCTGTTGCTTGTGCTGTCTGTCGTACCGGAAGGCCTAAAACTGGTGAAGTGGATGCGTGCGCATGCCTGAGCATCAACGATTGCAATTCTTATTCAATGATTAAATAATTTAGGAATCACACACTACACGCTCTCCTTTCCTTTTACTTTTTGGCCTAGCCTAGGCCAAGGGATACGGCCTACGCTCTTGTACTGTGCGTCTAGGCTGTGGCACATCACTTATTATGTGGCTCACTAACACTTCTCTCCGCACCATCTCTCTCTCAGTCTCTGCTGCCGGCCCAACCTCACTCATCACTGGACTGGCCAATCATAACGCCGCATCGCGGACTGCCTGTTTGGACCCCAGCTTCAGCCCCCCAACCCCATTCCCCCCAGCTAAAGCTCGGTCTATCTCTGCCATTGTATCCAAGTTCGGGCCTTTCCTTGCCCTGTTAAACTCAAGCCCTATCCTACACACTACACTCATGGGACTACAATACGGTGACAACACTACACTAGGTCTACCCTAAGCCAAGAGGGCACTGAAACTTTCCGAAATCACAAAAGAGTTTCCCTACCGGGTCTGTATACTTTGTGACTGTTCCCGGTTACCGGGTCTGTATACACTCCTAAATTTATATTTACAATTCAGTAGGCCTATGTTGTTTTTTTAATGGTCAGTCTAGCCATCATATTAAGAATAAGTACGGCTAGATCTAGATCTAGATCTAGACATTGTCATTAACTTGATTAAGTTCATTAAGTAAGGCCTAGTCTCTTCCCTAAGTTGTACCGAAACATTGACTTCTTCCACATTAATTGTAGCCAAACTTGGAAGTGCAGACTAGATCTAGAAGCTAGATCTACTCTAGATCTAGATCTAGATCTAGATTACATTCTATATCTAGATTCTAGGCCTGCCTTTGCCTTTGCCTTTCTATTTCTGCTAAAAAAAACTTTTGAGTGCAGAAACTACACGCCGATAGTCGATAGTCTACACAGTCGGCCCTAGAATAGATGTACTGAGAAGAGCTTACCAATTCAATAAAACTGAGAAATAGCAAAAGATGGCTTTGAACAGAAACAGGAAAGAACCGTATATTGTCATATGAAATTATTCAGAGCTGGGGAAAAGACTTTTTAATACATTTTGGGATTTCTTCTAGATCTACCTGCTGTTTACATTCAGTCAACTTTGCATCATCCGGAAGTTGGAAGATGAAAGTCAAAAACTAAGCGTTATCTCCCCTATTCGTGCTTTTTTTCTTTCTCCTCCGTAAAAATACAGTTTCGCAGTGCAAAAATTGTAATTGTTAATAATAATACCATTTTATTTCAAACTAATGTTATCTGAATGTGAAATATATTTTGCCGTAGTTCTTTAATCGACCAGTCCTGTAGATGGTTTGATTTCTTGTTACTGAATATTCTGATTTTTTCTGTTATTGTTTTAATCTCAGAATTCCACACAACCCTGCATCCCGCCACCTGTATGGAAAACTTAGTTGTGTTGTAGAGCGGTCAAAACTTCGTGGCGCAACTTATCCTCAAATATCACTGTTTAACGGATGAATCACTGACACCCATCCTTTGCAAAGCAGTAAGCTTCAATTTGTCTTAACTTAATCATATTTTCTACTACAACTGAGGCTAGATTTTAAAACTTTTCTTCATAAATTTACGTAAAATACTATAAATCTCCGTTACGCGGAAAATGAGATTGTTCACAGCTTTTCCCGCTGCTCACACACATTTTTAATACATACGCATATAATATGGTCTACATCACAGCTCACCAATGGCTCTTTTTAGAGGCAAAACTTGTAACAAGAATAGATTGATTAAATAGCGAACACATTGCTAGGTTCTCAACACAAGCGTGCTATAAGCATATAATGTCGCGATTAAAAAGAAAAAAAAATGACGAACTTGTTTTCTTTCAAAAGCAATATTACCCCCGCTGTAAACGTTTGAAAATCTGAAGCTCTCAATATCCAGACCCAGGTGACTTTCTATTTAACAAGGACTTGATCAGTCTCTAACTCCCCGCGACATCCCGTGCTATTATTATTACATTATTATTATTAGTAGTAGTAGTAGTAGTAGTAGTAGTAGTAGTAGTAGTAGTAGTAGTAGTA